GTTAGTTCGAATTAACATTGTAGTGTAGACGTACCCCATGGGAAAGTTAGCAGAAATAAAAAAATGTTTTTCTCTAATATAATGGCATTTATTAAACTATTAGAAGATTTACCCAGCATTGCTCAGGTCCTTAACTCAATTATTTCTTCTTCTTCCTCATTTAAATCATTGCCCTTGGGTGGGGGTGGGGATGAGGGCTTCAGTATGCAGGCTGCCCCAGAGAGAGAACGACCTCAGCGCTCTCTCACTGCAACAGCTTGAGGCCAGGTGAGAAGCACCTCTCCATGGCCACTGCAGCTCCAGTGAGCACAGCCAGGGGAGGAGTGCATATCCCCTGGCTGAGGCCGAACCGATTTGTCTGCCCTTTTGCTCCCCAGCCAAAATAAGGAATGCAGAAAACTGCAGTTTTCCCTCACTCCCTGAAGATGGGGAACAGTCAGCAATGTTACTGTATGAATGAGGGGAGGAAGAAGCCGCAGCCCTCCCACTACCTTCCCTAAAGGGCACCTGAGGGCTTTGGGGGTTTGATGCGCAGGGCAGTTCCAGACAGGGGAGGGGTGCACCCCTAGCCAGCCCTTTTCACCTGCCTGGTGATTCTGTCTCTATGGTTTCATGCATCCCAATATGCATGGAGGGAAAAGCTTCAGACCCATTCCCCCCCCCCCACACACACACTCTCTTACATTGCTTTAAGTTATGATAAGAGGACGCTGCATACCAGAGTGTTCAGAATTCAAGAAAAGAGTCTCATCAATCTCAGTACACTGGAAGCACAGAGTTTAGCTCAGTGCTATCATGCAATTACAAGAAATCACTTCAAAGGAATAAATATTCCATGGTGAGTAGCATGAGGGGGGTTCCAAAGCAGAGAGGACTGAAATTGAGATTAGCAGCAGTGTGAGGACTCTGGAGTAAATATTTCCCATAGGAGGCATTGATACATTACGAAGAGCTTGGCTGGGAGTAGCAGCCACTTCTCTGACTCCCATGCCACGTGTGCTGCAACACTGGCGGCTGGATCTCGAAGCATTAAAACGGTACCATTTGTAAAAACCTCTGCAATTTTTCTTATTCTCACCTAAAAATTACATGAAAAAATTCCAGCTCCTGAATAATTCAGTCTAGCACATCTGGACTTTAGTTAGAAACCAAACCAAACTTCCATAATTGTATGAATCAGTGTCTCTCATTGTTTTAATCCCAGAATCTGGCTTGGATGATTAGTAGTAAAATAGATTTGTTGATTATTTTATTATCATAAAGTGGTTGCCTGAGCACATTGCTTATCTGTTAGGTATTTCTCCCTCCTGACCATTTCTATCTTCTCAGCACACCCCATATTTCAATGTTCACCCTTGCCTTTTGTATGTTTATTCTGCAGACAGAAAGATCTCCTTGTTACTTGCTCACTGTAAGAGTCATAAGGGCAAGGAATCTCCTTCGGACAGATGCCTGTGAGTAACTATACTGATCTAGAGATTCTGTACTGGGAATGGTGCTGAGTTGTTCTGCTCCAGGGGGACCTGTGCTCCTCCAGGGAAGAAGGCAGCTTTCTAGACTTCCTCAGTGCCCAGAGGGAGGCCACTCACTGCTACACCCTTTTAAAAGATGTAGCATATATGTGTGCTGATCCAGCACCAAGTGCCAGAGTAGAGGAGTGAGCAAGGCAATTGCTTGAACCTATCTCACACCCCTCCTCAGGCTCAGAGGGAAATTGAGAGAGCAGTTACTGCATTCTACAGAAAGCAAGGACTGCGACTGTGTCTGACCCTGATGTAGGCTGTGCTCTTGCCCATCCTGTGCCCTTATGTTAGGGCCAGGCATATATTGGTGTGATATTGCTATGCTTTTTTTCCTCCCGGGCTATTTAAATATTCATCCTTTTTCAAAAAAAAAGTAATCAAAAGCTCAATAAGAAAATAACAAGTCAATTGTATAGAATGGAAAACATTTTAAAAACATGCTTATTGTGGCTCTGGTTGCAGTTATACAAAAAAGAATTAATTTTCTCCTCTTTTCTCTGCCCCTATTACCTGGAGTGGGCTGGCTATATTGGACAAACATGAAAGCTTTTTTTATTCAGTGTGTTCATTCCTCTAGTGCCAATTAGCACTGCATAAATTGTTGTATTGTCATTTAGCAAGCTTTTCTTTTTAATATACAGTAAGCCAGTCTGATTGCTATGTAGCCCTGTGGCTGCCGACAGCTTCAGCTGAAAAGTTCCAGACTAAAACCATCAGCAACTGCAAAGACCCAGTCTGGAATGAAACCTTCTGCTACATGATTCAGAGCCAGGTCAAGGTACGGCCCTGAGAGCTCCCTCGTACGTGTGCTCTAGAGCAGTGTTTCTGAAAGTGCTCCGCAAAACCACTTTCAGAAACATAAAACTGGCTGCCCCAGTTTGTTTATTTACTGGCAACACGGCCACGGAGTCTCACAGCTCCCATTGGCTCCGTTTCGTCCTTTGCAGCCGAGGGGAGCTGTGGGAAGCCACTCTCTTTCCTTCTCCCCCTTTCCTTGCACAACCTAAATACAGATTTTCCTCAGGATTTCCTGCTTCCTGGACTCTTTTGAAAGCCAGAATGCAGAATTCTAAAATCACTTACCTCCCTTCCCAGAACGTGCTGGAGCTGAGTGTCTGCGATAAGGATGATGTTACCCAGGATGATCACCTCTTCACTGTGCGCTTTGATGTCGCTAAACTTCCACTTGGAGAAAGAGTTCTCATGTACTTTAAGTCTGATCCACAGGTGATGTATGAAATAAGGGAAGGGCTAGGTCAAAGGGATGTGCTCTCCTGGGTCTTCTGCCTAATTGTCCATTTGTATTATATTATGGTTTTCCTTCCTGTGTATTGGATTGCCCCTCATACAGAGGGTAGTAATCTCTCATTCTAATCCCTGGAAAGGCCTCTTTGCTGTTGCAAACTGAAGAGTTTTGCCTCAGCACTTTTGGACAATGGGGGCTGGTGAAAATGGGAGGCTCTCTGCAAAGCAGTTTCTTGGATGAGTTTGCCACCAAAGCTGGCTGGAGACTATTCTCCCCTCCAACAGGTATTACTCCATGTTCTCTGTCACAGCTTATTGGCACCAACCCAGCAATTAGGTGGTGGTAGTGCTGACTCCTGCAACTGATAGTAGATCGTGTCTAGTACTCGTTTATGCATAGCTTATAATTATACAGTGTGACACTAAATAAGATGTCTAAATTGTACTGCACAACTGATCACTTACATTGAGAATTAGCTGTATAAATTCCTATTTAGAATGCAAATTTGAAAGTCATGCCTGGAAAGCCATGTCTTTTTTTTAAAACAAGTTCCTTAAGTGACACATTGGCATATATACAACTGGTGTGAAGGGGCAATTAACAGGAAAGCTTAGAATCTACATGGTATGTTATGTCCAAGCTATGTCATTGGCTCAAGCACTACCAGTGCTACGGTAAAGAGTGTTGGCTAGGTAGGAGAGATGAGAATATCCTGTGTCTGTTCATGTGGAGAACGTTTGTGTACTTTTCACAGTGCCCAGAGAGGTCGAAGCAACAGGAGCACAGGATATAGTATTTATATAATGTATCCCCCCACCAACACAAAGAGTCAGAGCAGGTTTTGTATTGCAAAATAAAGTCACATATAGGTTGTCGCTTTTATTTTTTTTTTAAGTCTTGAAAAGATGAAGTAAGCTGCGTCTGCTACAAAAAACTAAAGATGATTTTGCAGCAGCACATTTGGTATTGGGGTTGAGTTTATACACGCAACAGAGCTGTTCTGAACCGGAAGCATTATCATGTTGTTCAGGGATTCTTAACATTTTTCATATCATGAACCAAGTCTGTTGGAGCGATTATTTGAAGCTCACATTTGCCTTCCAATATCTCAGTCATGATTCCTTTTGTAATCCAAAATGTGCCTGAGAGAGCTACAATTGCTTATAATGCAGAAATAATAGAAAGAACTTAGGTACATTTTTAATGCGATAAGTGCATTGTCCTTTATAAAAGACTATATTAATCACACAGAATCCTTTCACTCTTCAGTTGTTCATCTCCTCAATTCCCATCTAACCCTCCCTCTCCTGACAGCTGACCTCCCTTTTCTCCATCCTCATCCATGCTGCCCTAAAGCCAGATTTCCTTCTACTCAGCAGGCCTGGGCATAGTGCCAGGTGACATTTTCCTCCTCTTCCACTGCTCCCCTTCATGTTTGTTGGGGGTGTGTGTGTACTTTTACACTTCAGGTGAGTGAGTATGTGATTCCCAGCTCTGTTTGATCTAGCTCACTAAAAATAAAATGTATCTTTGGTAGGGCTTCCGGTTTTGGTTATATGTATTCTTGGAGATTTAATCACATGACAATATCTTTAATTAAATATTAATCTTTAATTCTTGGATACTCCAGGCTAATTCTGGAGTGTTGGTAAACCTAACCTACAGCAGCAGTGTCTCATTTGCAACAAGCGTAGCTGAATACAGGTTAAATTGAACAAGTAGAACTTTATTAAACACTCTGGACTGCTCTGTCCATGAGGCTGAGTTGTTTTCAGCCTAACTCCTAGCATTAGCTCTTATCCTGTTGCCCCCTCAAGAACAGTCCCTTCAGAGAACATAGGCCCTCTGTTTTCAGTTCCCATTGATCATCCTACATGAAGGACTAGTTGCTCTGAATATGTAGGTAGTGGCTTGGCTGCAGGCCACATCTACACTCTATTTTTAACATGCTAGTTCAGAGCTAGTGAGAGTGTCTCCTCAAACTGGGAATCACACCCCTTGTTTGAAGTGCAGACACATCCTCAGTTCCTAGTTACCCTCTTCCCCGGCAATCCAGAACCTTCTCTCCCGCTAGTGGTTTATCTATACTGCAGTGAAGAGATGTGGTCTCAGGGTGCAAAGACAAGCTCTGACTAGCTGAGCTGAAGCTAGTGTGATAAATATAGCCACATGAAAGTTGCAGCACTGGTGGCAGCTTAAGTTGGCCACTCAAGTGCAGACCTAGGCGGTCAGACAGGCTTGGCCTCGGGTGGGTAATCCATGCTGTGATGCCCACACTGCTGTTTTCAGCAAGCTAACTCAGTTCAAGCTAGTGTGAGTCTGTCTACCCACACTGTAAATCACACCTCCCAGCTGCAGTGTAGATTTATCCTAGAAGACTTCCTTCTATTTACAGTCTCTAGCTTTTCTCCCACTAATGGGCTGCAGACAGCATCTCTCTGTGATCCCAGACAGCATCTCATTCCTGCCTGCTCCCCCAAATAACAGCAGCCCACAGTAGAGATAGGTAAGCTGATATCTCATCTTTGTTAACCGCTGCTTTTATAGACATCTAGGTTCTTAGCAATAAAGAGTCTTAGTGCTTATGTAAAAGCAGCTAGAAGAAGCCAGCACCAGGGGAACTGGCAGGTATCAATGGATCACCACAAAGTGATCCACAGATCACTAGTAGTGCATGAGCCACAGTTTGAGAATCCTTGGTATAATAACCATATTATCTTTCTTTCTTCAGAGAAATGAGGAGCTGGAGGTGGAATTCAGACTGGAGAGTATGTAAGTAAAAGCCAAATGCAATAGAATCTGTAAGGGACGGAAGCAACAATTCAGTGACTAATGAATGAATCCATTTCATTGGCCCAGAATGCATTATTCTTTGACACTACTACCAATAAGCATAATTTACAATGAGATTTATCGTATGCATAATATCAAAGAATGGTGCATTCTGGGAGAATCATCAGTGAATCATGGACTGGCAGAAGAATTTCACAGAGGGGGATAAATTATTGAAAAGGTAGTTAAGTTTTTCCTGTAAATACCCATTAAGACATGATTAGTAGGACAGTCCATCCCTGCATCTGGCATTAGCAGCTTGATAGTTTGTCTTTGAGATAAATGAGGCAATACTGTCCTGTTAATGGTGTAATGGGATCTTTGAAAAATGCATCAATGTTTTGTGTGAAATCCTGGTTTTAAATTTGGAAACTTTATCCAAATGAAGCCACCTGTAACCTCAGCTTGGCCCGATAGGAAATCTTTGTTAGCTGAACTTGACAACTAGAACCTCACGAGCTGTTGTGCTTTTGCCATGGAGACTTGAACCATGAGTCTTCTAGAATTATTCCTTTGCTCAGGCACATGTCCAAAATGTAGCACAAAACTAAGATAAGGAAGCTAACAGTTGGGAGAAAAGTCTCATTGAATTATACTGCACCCATTACTAAACATGCACTTTTCATTTTGTTTCCTAGTTCAGGTCCCTCTGAAACCATCGTAACTAATGGAGTTCTAGTGGTAACATTTATGTTCCGTTATCTTTCCTGTCCTTTAGAGTACTCATAATGCAAGTGGGATGAGGGTTGCCAATTTTGATTGTCAGACTCTTGGAGGTTTCACCACATGACATAATCTTTAATTAAAGTTTAATGTTTAATTCCTGGAAACTCCAGGACAATCCCAGAGGTTTGGCAATTCTAGGCGGGACTTGAGAAACTGTGAGTTGCTTTGCACTCATAAGAACAACATACACTCCTGCAGAGAGTGGCTGAGACTGAAAATGTAGATATGATTTCCTCCTTAGTCATTGGACTCACACCATCCCCGCCCGTGTGTCATGTTTGGAAAGCTCTGACTGGAGCAGCTGTGAGATCTGTCAAGCCAGCAGTCCTACAATATAGTGGAATGAGTCCTTCTGAAAAAATTGGGAGTGGTGTAGTGGGAAGCTGTCTTTTAGCCATCATTCTCACCCTATTTCCTGCAGTGGGAGACACTGATATCTGTAAAGCTATGAGCTCCCCCACAGACATTGGTATTCAGTCCAATCCACTGACACTGTATGAAATGGTGGAGGAACAATTTGCTTTCCCATAGTCTTTTTTCTTAAACCATTCCTGCAAATTACTAGCACTTAAACATTCATAACAATAACAATTCCTCAAAGGCTCTGCTTTCCAGGGACACTGGTTCTCTTAGTAGCTTTTTCTCATTTTTTCATCTGAATTAGTCTTTTTTGCTTCTCCATATCCTGATAATGCTCTTTGGCTTTCCATACACTCTTCAGAGAAGCTCGGTTGTAAGTCGCAACTACCGTTCTTACAGCTGATGGCACATATGACTCTCTACAGTTATTCAGTTTCATTCATAATTGGATAGCAGGGTCATTGTGGAACATTTGGTTTTATTAGGGGCTGAGCAGACTGCCTACATAACATTCAATAGCAATGCATCAGGGATGAGAAATAGAACCTCAAGCCATGCTATTCTACACCATGAGTTATTTTATTACTAATCTCTGTTGCAGTCTCGCAAAGTCTGCTGTTTAGAAATTCAAGTGGATGAGAAGAGGGGAAAGAAAAGGAAGCCTTATTCACGTGAGATTTGCTTAATTAACTGGCTATAAGTAACCCAATGTTGATTCTGCTATGGGGATTGGATATTCTATGAATCATTAAAATAAATAAATGGAATATAATATTTCCACATGACACAACTTTGTTACATCAACTGTAAAAGAATAATCTATGTTACTGGTTACGTGGACTGCATGACACATATCTGTTTAGTGAACTCTTTTGAAATAACACTAAAGCTGAGATTTTAATCACACAAAGGTTAAAGTTATGATTCTGATAGCAGCATTAATTTTGTTTCCTTATGTGAGTTGATCATTACAAAAGGCTTTTCATAAATGATTACACAACTTAAGTGAAATAATTCAGAATACAACATATAGAAAAGAGTACAATTGCTTAACATTACATTGTGTTGTACTGTTTTCCAAATAGTGAATCACATTGTCCAGTGTGATATTAATTTAATGAGAGAGCAATCTATCCAGACCAAATATTCAAGTGTATAGAATTAATATTGATTTTATAACTAGAATTGTCTGACCTTTCTGTGATTAAAATCTCAAGCATGGCATTGCAGTAATGTTGTTTTTATATTTTCTTTCCTTTGTGCATTTCTTGAAAAAATATTAGCAAAACAATGACAACTTCCTGCATGTTACATTTTAATGTTTCTTCTAGAGGCTTTTTTCCAGATTTAATCTAAAATGTTTTGTTCATTTTTATATTGTGTTAGCACCATGGTGCCCTGTTGTGTGAGGCATTGTAGAAACATGCAGGCCCTGTCTAAATTAGGGAAAAGACTTGTTTAAAAAGCCTGTTAGTTAACCCATTTTAATTAACATATTTAAAACCCATTAAGCACTTTGGCCAAACTGCTCACAGGTATCTGGGTCCTAACTCCCTTTCAAATCAAACATCTATATACCTTTGGCTCTGGGGCTGACCATGACCAACTAACCCATATTAAAGGTGTGAAAATGTGTTATTTTAGTGAATAGGGCATTTTAAAAAAAACAACTCTTTCC